CCGATTGACTTGACAGTAGGTTTACGAAATGCGTCAATTGGACGAGTACTGAATTTTATAAAAATGATTTATTACACGACGAATTTTAAATGATGCAACTACACGAATACATAGCCTAATGGTCTATTTTTAAACCTCTAATTTCCAAGATCTAAATCAATGAACATAAATCTTTTCAGGAACCATAGAATAAACTCTACAATAAATGTCCGCAAACTTAATGTTAATGCAATATATAAATAATTACATTGATGTCGTTACGTTCTATAGGTTATTCTTCAGTGAAAACATATGAATATAAAGCTCCTTCTAGTGCAGCCTAGTGTGGCATTTCTAAATGCAAATTAGATTCCGTTAGAACTACTAAAAGCAACAGATAAATGTTTCTTTTTCTCTTAGTTACTTTTCCACCTGCTTAAAAACTTCGATGAAGATCTTTTTCATTCAAATAAGAAATTGTTACACTAGAAAATTTACTTTTTTTTACAGTAGCATATCAACCAAACGCTTTATAGTAATTTTTGTAGGTGTAATATAAAAATGATGATACTAATGGTTCAGGGTTAAGTTCAATACAAACTAACATCTGTTCGCCGAGATTCGAACGAGCTCGACTTTCCTACCGCTGGAAATACCTGGCGAGTTCTAACCTAAAAATGTTCGGAGACCCATCAGTAGCTACCTACCGATGAGGCGGCGCGAAAGATGGCTGGCGTACCGGAAAAGAAAGCAGGGTACGGACTCGTCTGGAGAAAGAACGGGGATCCGTTCATTGAAGTGCCGACTTCAAAAGGATTCACGCGAACGGAGAAGTGGAATTTTCATTATCGGAATACCAGTCGCTGTCAGTAAACCTCTTACTACTTTGATAAGCGCGTCCCCTCGTCTGGGCATACTCGCCTCTCGCTAAAAAGGACACAAGGTGGAGTGAAAAAAAGAAAGAAATAGGAGAAAAGAAACGATCGTGTAAATCTAAGCTTTCTCTCCTTGCCAACCGAGTTTCCGCCGAGACGTCTCTTCCGTGGCGTGATCAACGGTACACGATCCACGATCACGTTTAAGCTCGAAATGAATGGCCCCTGGCGGAAAGCATTCGATCAAGATCGTAAACGTGATCGCTCGGAGAATTATTTGTACACGTATTAAACTCGCTATACTGTATTTTATATGGGTACATGAGAAATGTAAAATAGGAGAGTTGCCTACGCATAACCGGTTATGTGCTAAACATAAAATATAGTAACGCTTGCTTGAACGTCGAGTTTATGATTCACTTATTGTTAGTGACACGATAAGCTACTGAAAGTTTTTATTATTATTATTATTATAGTATTTTCGATATTCGAATTTACCTATTAAACGAATCAATCGGCTCTGTTTCTAAGGAAATTTAACTAGATAAAAGGATACTTAACCAGTTAACTGCATTCGACGAGTATATACGTTATCATCAGGTAAATGTGTAATTCTTCTTCATTTTGCGTTAATTCTTCATTAGAATATATTATGGGTGTTTGACCAGTGTACACTTTATTGCTTCATTTTATTGCGTGCACAATGAAAAACTTTTGAAACTAAAAAACTACACAGTTAACAGGTTAAGAAAGTCACTTGCATAAATGTTAGATATTATATTTGTCCTCACAATGTCCATATTCATTGCTTTTTAATATTCATGTAAATTTAGTGCGAAATTTAAAAATCGAAGTAGGATATGGATAATTTTCGAATTTTTTGTTGTTCACTATAGAACTTGTTAATATCTCCTTTTCTAAAGGAACAATACTTCTCGCGGCATAATTTTACTCGACTCTTAATTTTACTCGCATCTATTCTCCGTTATTGAACCGCGCATAAATGGCATCTCGCATTCAGAGCACTCGCTCCACAATCGTTTCTGATCAAACGACTCGAATTTCGAACCAGGATTTTGTACCTGTTCGAAACGGTCCGTATCCCGAGATTATCACACGGTCGCTGAATTAGGACGTTCATTTCGCGTGAGTTACCACCGAAATTATTGCTGAATCGATCGCGGGCGAAAGGTGTGCGTGCGAAACGGTGCGGCGAAAATCCGGCTGTCAGAGGGATGTCGGTGAGTAGCTTGATTTATGCACTTCTGGTCTATGGACCACGCGCGTGCGATCGTTTCGTTCGCGTTGCCGAAATTCCTGCTTTTAAAATCCGGCCGCTGAACAGTCGCGATTCAGTCCTTGTTTTCAAAAAAACAAACCAGCCGCTGGTCGAGATCGCGAAGCTTATAAAATTATTATCGCCCGGTCCGCGGCCATCCGTTTAATCCGCGACGAGCCAGCCGCGCGACGTCACTTTCGCCGACTAATTTTTAACAATGACGCATCGCGCGCCGGTTTTTCCACGTAATAAACGCCATCATCGCGCCGAGTCGACGAGAATTTTCACCCCCATCTCCGCGTCCCGATGAAAATACGGGAATTCATCGGCTGCGAGTGCCTTTTAAATCGTCCCACCGGCAGACATCGCTGTCTGCGGCTTCCTGAAAACACTTTCCCGCTAGAAACCGTCGGTCTACGTGTATTTCCGAGCGGTTTTAATGCAAATAGAAGTGGGTAGTCTCGCAGCCATTCGGAGAACTTGACAGAAGCTTTTCTACGGATCCTATTGAAGGGAAAGGACGACGGCGGCCGATACCGTTTGCGTCTGCCGCTGGAAAATTGAAAACGTTGCGCGTATGCATTATGCAGGCCACCTTGCGGAACGTAAACGATTGCTCTTTTAATTTCCATCCTTTTTCGACTGAAGCGCGGAAATTGGCGCGACTTTAAAGTTATTATGAAAATTGTAAAATTTGTAAAACTTTCGTCTGTATACATTTAGATTTCTAGCGACTGTGGATTTTCAATATTTTTTTTATCAGTAAACCTGTAAATTCTGATAATGGTAACGAGCTACCTTTTTCTGAAGTATTTCTAAATCCACACTTTTTTTTAAAGTGGAATGTAAGTCAATGTTAAGATTTGAAATTCTTAACGTGTAAAATAGACTGTATAAGAATTTCATTTTATACTTCAACTACATAATATGTGTAACAAAAAAGTAGCATATAGAAGAATAGTTTGTCTTCAATGAAAGCTTACAGATATTTACGTTCGGACTGCAAGTTGGAAAAAGAAATAAAAATAATTAATTTGTAGTACTTATTTCAAAATATTGTTTTACATTCAAGAGGTAAACTGATGAAACCTACAATTACCAAAACCTAAAATATTTCAGTTAGAATGAAGTTGCATGCCAAATCTAAGATAAAAATACTGAAAATGTTTTCTTTGTTGGACATTCTACATTATAATTTATTATAAATTTATAAAAATCGGCAGTGTAATAATTAAATTTGGAAAAGCGGATCGTGAGAAATGTCAATTATGTCAAACAGTCTCTGTCACGATGCAATTAAACATTCCACGGACGTGACGTTACGAATAGTATTACAATCGTGATGGAGTATGATTAGAATTAATTTGTCCAGCGTTCGAGATAACATATTCAATTTTGTCCTCATTAATCCCACTGTTTCGAGTCCGTTGTTATTGAACGCTGTCGCAGTTATTATGGCAACTACTGTATCGACTAACGATACGTCATTGTTGGAATTCAGGATTCGAATGAATTAATCAGTTTTCACAGAGGGGTTCGAAACAACCTTAACAATATAATTCTTGTTAGATGTAATTGGAATAGCTGGAACTTCTGAAAAGTTGACTAAACCTTATCTTCTTTATTTTACAGTATTCGATTCTTCTTAATTTTGACAATGAATGATATACACTCTTTTACGACTTTAATGTTAGTACATATTATAGTGCTCCTTAAATTATTTTTAATCTTATTTTATGACAAACATCTCTGAACTTCAAAAAATTATAAGAAGAATATTTCAAGTTCTTCAGAATTATTTATTTATTTAATGTAACAATGTATTTTAATGTAAGAAATAAAAAGATTATAATAAATATTTTTTATCCTCCTTTTGTTCTACTATCTAATAATTTTATTATGCATTTACTGCGAAAATTTTCAAGTTAATTAAGAGAAGAACATAATGCCGTTTCTACTGCTTCGAAAATAATAATAATTAGTTAAAACAGAACGTATCAAACCTTTTACTTCTTCAAAATTGTTGATAATAAAAAAGAGAACATATTGCATTTTTTATGGCTTCAAAATCTTGGCGAGAAGAACATATTGCGCATTTTACCGCTTCAAAAGTACTGATAATTAAAAAGTGAACATATTGCACTTTCTACTGCTTGAAAATTATTGATAATTAAAAAGAGAACATATTGCACTTCCTACTGCTTCGAAGTTATTGAAGTTTTTTTTCAGGACAATACAGAGAGAAATATTCCGAGAGATACAGCACGAGGAGCAAGTTCTCATTGCAGTTCCGATATTTTTTCCGTAGTTATTGTCATGTGCTGCGCAGTGATACCATGGAAATACAGAATACCGTCTACTCACTGATAGAAGAACATTTAACAACAAAATTATTAAAACAATTTTAACTTTTAACGTATTACCTACATATTCAATTACTTTTTATATTAATTTTGTGTTGTGGAAAAAAATGTTTATTCTACCTTCTACATTCCTCAATATTTCACAAGATATATTTCCAATCCTTACGACTACTAGCACCCTACAACATAAACGATGTCTACTCGACATCTTATAATAACTCGAGCTTGGTTTTGATACACTTCCTCGTGACAATCGTAACAAAGATAATTGCACGACTTGTTCTTTATGATACATCGTAACGTCAGTTGCATCGAAACATTCACAGTTTAGTGGTTCAGGAAACCTTGGCTGTGCCAAATCTCCTGGCAGTTTATGTTCCCCGGTCTTTGGCAAAAAGTTTCAGCCGGTTTTCTGTAGTTCCATCGCGGCGGTAAGAAGCTGGACAACGTAGCGTTTACAGACCTCTCGGACAGAATGAACAACATCGAAGACGGAGTACTCACCAAAGGGCCAGCTGGTAATGCAGAATCGCATGGTTCGGTTGCGACATGTCTCTGAGGAAGTTAGCGAAGTTGTAATGCATCTTGGCGTTGTGGGGAAGAGACCGCAAGCCCGCTCTGCAACAACGCGGCTCCGGGTCAGACAAAACCGCCCTCTCGACCTCCGACACGACCCCAACTTCTTTCCCTTGTCAGCCCCGTTATCTACGATAGTTACGTTTCGTATCGTCGCACACGGCCCAATTGCTTCACGGCAACTTCCGGTCATACCTAGGTGTGAGTGCGGGCCTGGCGGTGTGCCACGAGCGTTGTTCGAGTCGTGACAGAGAGCCCGCCGTAAATCTCCGCGGAATTACTTCGCGATTTCGCGAATCCGAACGCGGGGATTTAGCCGTGTGCCGCGAACAGCCCTTCGCGGCCTGCGAATGACTGTCGAGGAAATTTTGATGACGCGAGAATCCGCGTCTTCCGGCATTTCCCTCGCAATTCTTTTTCCTTTCATTGTGAATTTTCTTCTATTTGTTAACCCTTTCGTTCCCGCCTTGTTATATATGTGGAAATGTGTGACTACATGTATAAAATTGTGAAATGAAATATCCTTAGCGTATGTTTAGTTATTTCAAAATATGTCAAAGTTTCCTTTTGTCTTATTTGTATTGTGATATAATATAATATGACTGAATTTATTATTGATAACGATTAAAAATGATAATAAAAATTAATGAAACCATACTGTATTTCAATTGTTTAAGTAAAACGTACTAATCAAAGATGAGACAAATAATATCCTCTTCAATAATAAATAATACATACCGTCATTGAATATTTTAGATTAGTATAATCAGCGATATTCAGACGATATTCTCTACATTCGTAGAAAGCGAATATTTACAAAAATAGTCGATACATTATTAATTAAAGGTAAACGCTATAAGTAGTGTTGAATTCGTGTTGAAAAATACAATGAACTAACAGTAATGAAAATATGTGATTCTATTTTTAAAAATTCCATTGACTTTAAAATCTCTTTAAATAACAATGTACAAGAAATTGAGAAAGCTTAATAAATATCTCTCTTCTCACGTCAAACAATGTATACTTCAAACTTTTTTTCGTATCTTCAATAATTACGGATATATTCGAGTGTACACGAATAAAACGGACATGCTGTATGTATATCGTTCTACGATATAAATTACAATATACAACATTATATACATACGTATATAATTATAATGAAAGTAAGCCGCGGTTATGCGGTAACAAAATAAACTTGACAGTTACTACTTCCCAAATATAAAACATTTGTTTAAAAACAATTTCTACGTAATATCGTGCAAATAAAAATATACAAATATTTTTTGAAAATTGTCAAACAGCTTGGGAACAAAAGGGTTAAATGTATCATTATAGAGAATCCACATTCTTTATATTCTAGATACTATGACGTTTGCAATATATCTTAGTGTATGTAATATTTTTTATTTAACACTGAATTTCTTAAGTTTATGAATATCGATTTATGTAATGATATGCCATTTCAATTCTTTCTTCTAATCTAATAATTTTGAATATTTGTATAATGAAGTCTCCTTTTTTTGAAGTGTAAATTTCTTAATTAATATTGGATTATATTAATATAGTATTTGAAACATAAACATATAGGACGGCTTTAATGAGTCAGAGTAACAGAAGAAAATTTTCACACAATTCAATACTATTCCACTCAGTGTCAAGATTCTTGTTTTGTTATAAAATGTCTATTACCCTGTTAAACAATCGAGGACACACGTTTCGCAACGGTACGTCAAGTGAAACATTTGCGTACTACTAATTGGAGCAATAGTATCTATACTAACCTGAGCAACGTTTCTCTAGATGTCCAGTCTCTGTTTCGAAGGACAGTTTTGTAACACCCTAAGATCAGAAGAAGCGTTATTCCCGCTGCTATTAAGCTCCTTCTACGTGAAACGGCCGTCCAGGTAATTTGCATCCCGTATACAACGAGAAGGATCCATCCGACACTGCAAATTTAGTAATTCCCTACTGCGTTAGCATCTTTTCAATTAAAAAGCGATTACTACGTAGACTGTCAGCATTTATGCAAATTAAAATTTTTGAGAACGTAATTAGAATAATATTAGATAATAGAATTACAATGGAAAATAGTTTCCTCTAACGAATAATACAAAAAGCACTACACTTAGGATATTTTATATATTTCCTCGTATTATGTGCGATACTTTTACTTTCTTATATTTTCCATAAACGCATAGAAATCTGCAGTTTAGTAATTATATTTTCATGCGCAACCATAGTTCAATTAGAACAGAAAAAATAGTAAGGAATTGTGTCAAACGAAAATGTATCTATACGATACGAGAAAAATTCATCTTACAAATTACTTCTTTCAAATTTATTTTTATATTATTTTTAATAATACAGCGGGTGTAAGTATTAATTTGATAGAAGTCTAAATTAATATTACCTAGGCATGTACAGTACTCGTTCCGCAACGACAAATCCAACGGTAATAAAAAGGTTGGATGCGGGCAGGAACGGCAGTACCAGGAACATCCAACCAAGAAGAAGGGGCGGGTGCCTCTGTTGCTGGAAATGAAACAAGAATTTCTGTGTTAGATGCACGTGGTGTAAAAGTGATACGCCTTAGAACGAAATTGCTCGACGTTACTGGGAATGCGGCGTCACCCACTGACCGCATACTAAACAAAGTTTATGTGAAGAAAAAACAACTTCACGTTTCTTCCATTGTTCTCTTAAAGCACTTAGAACGTGACCGCAAATATTCGTCAACCTTTATATAAATTTGTAATAGAGACAAGAAACCAAGTGCTGAAGGAAGTTAAAATTAATTCTTTTAAGAGCTTTATTATTTGAACAAATTTATATGACTATTCCAAAAATAGTTTGCCCTTTTTCTTTTCATTGTAGCATCTAGAGAGTGCTGAAAAGGTGTTACAATATCTATGTGTTGAACATGACACACTGTACTCCGTAAAAAACCTTAGTGAACATAAATCGAGATATTAACCATTTTTTAGATATAAACGTTTATGATGTGTGAATATACAGTGCGTTCCTTCTATTTGTGGACAACAAATTTTTTTGAAAAATCTGAGTAATAGGAAGTACGATTAGTAAATTCTACATGTCACGTTGCTATATTTTTGACCTTGGCATAACCTTGAAACATTTTTTAAGGGTCACATAAAATTTTTTAAATAAAACTCCAGATTTTCTGGGAGAGTATGAGATACGATAACGTTTTATGCGAAAATAACAAATTTGTCGTGTTCTAAAAACGTATCAACATACAAAAATATTTATATTTCAGAAGCGATTGAGATTTCGACCTATGTTCACTAAGGTTTTTTATTCATAACGGTGCAGTGTATCCTATTTATCATATAAGTACTGTAACACTTTTTTAGCACCTTATATATTATTATGCCCAACAGAATATTATATATAAATAAATATCGAAAGGTGTTAAGAAAGTATTGAATAAAATGGGTTTAATGAAGAGAAATTGAAGAGAAATTTCTCTTCAAATTTTCTTAAAAAATGCAAATATGATTTTTTTATCAACATAAGGTATTCTAATTCTAAAATTTGTTTTTATTTCAATAAAGAAAAGGGTGGTAATCATTTACACCATGAGAGATTTAAGGTATCCATGTATAGTTACATAAACAGTGGATATACAGCTCTCATGGTCGAGATTTCAGTAAAATATATTCATGTGCAATAATTATTCCTACGCTTCATGTGCAATACATTGCAATCAGCATCATCTGCAAATTCGGCGCTTATGTTAATTCGACGCATACGTTGAATCATTTTTCAATGTGTACTTTCAAGAATATTCGTTATGTACATACTTTCAAATGATAATTTTAATACTGTATATACAAATAACAGTGTTATATCTACAAACAACAATTGACCGTAGTTTGATCCAGTTAAAAATATAAAATTTTCTTTGAAATTAAAAAAAAATAATTGATCTCAAAAACATTTCTTGGCGTTCTTAAGGGGGGAAATACCTTTAGACGGATGAAAACGAGCTTATATTTATTAATTTTTTTGTAAAGGAAAGGATTGTTTTACATTTTTGAAACTTTGGTTATCATTTATTATATTCTTTCTCTATTACAACGTATTTTTTGTTTTTCAAAATATTTAAAAATGGCGGAGTTATGTCCGTGTTTTTCGGGAAGGTTGTGGTGCGACTTATTAAATGGTGTAAGCTCTAGCTTTGGCTACATTGATTTGAAACAAACCAGCAAGACATATTTCGATAACTAACACTTACAGTTTGTAGGTGAACCTAAAAAAAGTGAAAAATATTGAAAATTGAAAAAATGACACGCTTTTAAACAGAAATTTTGAATTTTACATGAAATTTTCGCTATATTTTGCAATAAAAAGGTACTTGTATTTACAATTTATTTCATATCTCTAGGTTCATATAGAAGACAATATTGTTATAGATATGTGTGCAAAATTTCAGCAAGATTGATTGAGTATTTTTTGAGTTATTGATTCCACCGATTTCGAAAATGTAGTTTTGAGATAAACACGTTCAAAGTTTCAATAAGTGATAATTCAATAATTTCAATGACTTATCAGCTAGTATGCGATTCCTGCGCCATACAATATTCCTTCTGTTTCCTCATAGAGCTGATTTTCCTCCATACGTTGCTCTCTTCTTGCTTTTCGAGCCTCTTTGGTAGTTAATAAGGTGCGTCGCTCCCGTCGAATTATTCTCTGTTCGTCGATTTTGGCGGCGTATGTTTTTGCTTGTTTTCCAATTACAATATTCAAAGCACTCGTAGTTCTTAAAACTGAAGAATATCCTTCGTTAAATAAGCCAGCTGCCAAATATGCTGCAATTTCAATAATTTTTATTCCCGAGTGCAGGTGCTTTGGAGCGAAGAGCCAAACAGTTAAGTTGAAACTCTCGTTATTGTTTTGAGTGTGTCCGCCCAAGCACCTCTCAAGTAGATTCTCTTCAGATAAATCTTCGTAAATTGGTAGGATGTGCTTCTGCACGTCTGGATGTAGTGGTGCAGGATGTTCTATAAGGTCCAAATTTGCTCCTGTAGCTAGAGCTTTCTGCCACTTGCACCAGCTGTCATTTCCTACCGGGTAGTATTCGTGCCTTGGATTTTCTTTGGTGGAGCATAAGTGATAATACGAGGCCATTATAGCTTTCTTCATATTTTCCACACTATAAATATTTCTTCGTATGGCTAAGCCATAGTATGCGGTGAGTTTCCTGATAAGCGCATCAGTCAGCTTGCCTTTTCCACCGAGGTTTTTTGTTTCTTTTAATATTTCGAAGCCGACAGTATGATAATTTTTCTTGTATAACACAAACAATGTAAAGTAACATGTTTACAATGATTGAGAGGAGGGAATTATGAAAAGCGGGTCCTCCGCTTCTAGCGCGTGAATATATACCTGCGGTGGGCTACCGCCTATGAGTCCCGAGTCCCCTTAAGACAGATTTATAATACTGGTAACCAAATACAACTGTATTATTTTCGTAGTCAATACAATCAAGGAGTGTTATAAACTGTCGACAGTTAAACTGAATTAGTTATACAAGCTAATTTATCATTCGGAGTGAATGCTAAATAAAATATTATTTCAGAATCAAAATTCCGTTAGCAAATTCAAGTCCTACTAAACCTTTTAAATTTTAATGTACAGTTCTTGATAAAAAAATTGGGGCTACCATAGTTTTTACGCTACTTTCTTCGCGGTAACCATAGTATTGGAAATCTACAAAAGATAATTTAATAATAATTTATTCGTCATAACGTTAACCCTTTCTACTTTAGAAGTTATTCACTAAAAATACTCAACATTTTCTAATGAGATACAAACGACCTTTTCTGAAACTAACTTGGGAAATCGCACATAAATTGAAAAACAAAACTATTTTAATATATTTAGAGAGACGCCTCTGCAGTGCAAAGGATTAAGACCAAAAGTTAAGGAAAGACATTAAGATTTTGTTTCGCATCGACGAGGGTTGTGAGTTTTCGTTTCTACTTGCAGACACCACGACTTGCATGAATTTCTTTGTAAACGGTTAATACGTTCACTGCCACGAGAATATTCAGAGAGAATATTCATTAATGATTTGGTGTCACAGTTCTTAAGTTAGACTATTATCTAATTACTTACGTGACCAAATATTCTTATTTTACATTAATCTTCTTTATTAATATTCTTTACTAAAAATCACAATAATTTTTTTAAGCCATTTAAAAATTCTAGTCATCGATGATCATCGTATCAGTCAATGTGTAAAGTTTGGAAAGGGATAGTAATCTGAGAAAGGTGATTGAGTTGTAGTGAATAATTTAACGGTGAACTTTGCTAATGTGACCAGAGCGTCCACCGAAACTGTTCAAATTTGAGTTGCAAGCGAGTGTTTGAGACCATGTTGTATGTTTGAGTGGTGATCGAAAACGTATCGACCGTACTAAATTTGTGAATAGAATATGTAGATTTTCAAATGAAATAAGCGTCAGTTAAAATTTTGGGAAAAAATACACGAAATAGACCTAATCTATTACTTTTAATTGGCGCTTGCTTCATTTGTAAATCTTAAATAGTAATCAAGAAAAAAAATGACAAAGTTTAGGGGTTTTACCCCTGTATCATCCTTAAACGAAGGATTAGAGACCCGAAATTTTACAAAGTCGTTTTCCAGGAAAAGAACATGGTCTAACAAATAAAAATAATGAAAATCACGCAGAGGCCGATCGGCCCAGTTATCCTACTAGACCCTTTGTGCATGTAAACACACATATATTAAAAAATGTATACAGTATATAGCAGAATGAGACGAAAGGCATCATTTTCTGCTCGACAGCCAAAAAGTAAAGATACTTGAACATTAATAACAAAAAATAAACAGAATAACAAATGTAAACCGAATTTTATTGTAAACAATATATATTACGTGTATAAAATATATATTAAAATATACACATCCAGCATATTGTAAATTAAAACGTAATTCAAGAAATACAGATACACTCTTCTCACAAATCAATATCTATTATAAAACTGCACGAAAACGAAATACCGTCCACAGACAATATTTTTTTCACGTCTCCAACGAACTCATGGGGCAAGTGCAGCAAAGGGACGTGGAGCATAGTTTAACAAAGTCAGAGAATGAGTATAATGAGAAGAAGTGAGACAGACACAGTCCTCCATGCAATAAAGCAAATATAAATTTTATTAATTTCAATTTTACTTTCTTAAACGTAGTGACAGTGAATCTCTGTAATTGTTGTAATTAAAATGAATCTCTACACGATGGAAGTCGGACTAGTTTTACCGACTCCATGTAACTGACAAAATTAAAGGTTCATTTCCTTAAAATCGATAAAACTAGTTCGACGTACATCGTGTTTAAACTTATTTTAATCACAACAATCTTAACAATTCACTGAAAGTACGTTCGAAAAAGTAAGATCGAAAATAATGGAATTGATATTTCCTTAGACCGAATGCGACTGAGACGGAACTATAGAGTATTGTTTTCTATCGTTCCGTCTCAC